AAAGAAAGAAAGAAAGAAAGAAAGAAAGAAAGAAAGAAAGAAAGAAAGAAAGAAAGAAAGAAAGAAAGAAAGAAAGAAAGAAAGAAAGAAAGAAAGACAGAGAAAGAAAGAAATGAAAGAAATAACGGAGTGTTTTTTTGTGTGTTTGTTTGTTTGTTTTAATTTTGTTAGTCCTGGGGCTTGAACTCAGGGCCTGGGCACTGTCTCTGAGCTTCTTTTGCTCAAGGCTAGCACTCTACCACTTGATCCAGAGTACCATTTCCGGCTTTTTCTGTGGATGTGGTACTGAGGAATTGAACCCAGGGCTTCATGCATGCTAGGCAAGCACTCTACTGCTAAGCCACATTCCCAGTCCACAGTGATTCTTTTTTTTTTTTTTGGGTCCGGTCATGGGCCTGAACTCTGGGCCTGGGCGCTGTCCCTCAGCTCTTCAGCTCAAGGCTAGCGCTCTACCACTTGAGCCACACTGCCACTTCCAGCTTTTCTTTTTTTTCTGCTTATGTGGTGCTGAGGAATCGAACCCAGGGCCTCAGGCATGCAAGGCAAGCGCTCCACCACTGAGCCACCTTCCCAGTGATTCTTAATAGCTCAATCTCCAGTTCCATTTTCATTTCTTCAACATATACTTTTTGAGTACTTTGAATATGTTTGAATATGTCTGATGCTATGGCATCAGAGAATTAGGCAAATTCCTGGTCCTTGTGGGGTTCATAGTCTACTAGTAAGAGCCAAGTTGTGACTATATACATATATGTACATATATACATACACATATATAATGACAGGCTAGAAATACTTCAAAGAAAAACAGGCCAAAGTAAGGGGACAGAAAACTCTGGAAGGGATGAAGGATGCCAAAGAAGGCCCCTCTGAAAGTTGACTTTGGGCCTGAATGGAATGAGTAAGAACACCCTGAGCACAGGAAGGAAGAGCGTGGCAGGCAGAAGACACAGGTGCAGCTGGAACAGAGCAATTCTAGGGCAGAGTGACAGAAGTTAAAGCCACTAACTATGGAAGGGCTTTATAGACCATCTTTATCTTTGTCCTTTTTCTTTTTTTTGTCACGTTGTGGCGCTTGAACTCTGGGCCTGGGTGCTGTCCCTCAGTTCTTTGGCCGAAGACAAGTGCTCTACCACTTGAGCCACAGCATTGCTTCCGGTTTTCTGGTGGTTTATTGGAGATAAGAATCTCACGGACTTGCCTGCCTTGGTTGGCTTTGAACCTCAATCCTCAGATCTCAGCCTTCTGAGTAGCTAGGATTACAGGCGTGAGCCAACAGCACCCGGCCATTGTTCTTGTACTGGAGGAGAGTTTTGAGCAGAGTGATAGTGCTCTCTGGCTGCTGTGCTGAGGGGCGAAGGGTGGAGGTGGGAAGGTCTTTAGGACACTTTTGGCAGTGACCCAGGTCCTGGAGACGGGAACTCAGTGGGAGCAGGGAAATAGGGTGAATATCATCTTAGCTATATTCTCAAGGTAGAATTGGTGACATTTGCTGTGGGATTCTTCAACAGAGGGTAGGAGAAAGAAGAGAATCAAAAGTAGTTCCACAGTGTGGACTTTATAAGCTCTAAAAGAGTAAAATTGCCATTGTAAGACAAAGAAGCAAAGAGAAAAGCAGGCTTGGGGAAGGAAAATCAGAAGTTGTCTCCTAGAGACTATTTCCGACTAGAGAACGCTCACATTGGTTCTAAAACCAAAGCAAAACTGAGAGCTGACCTTAAATTCCATATGAAAAGCCAAGGACTCAAGAGGGCTCTGGATTCTGAATTCAAACCTTACTAAAACGTAGTTATAACCATCCAGGCTGAAGTTGGGGTGGGGTTGGGGGGGTTGTAGCTCAAGTTGTAGAATACCTGGGTTACCAAGCACAAAGTCTGGAATCCAAACCCCAGTAATGAGAAGATGGGAAGGAGGGGTGACCACAAGGAAGTAGGAATTAAAACAACAACAAGATAAAACACCCCAAAGAACAACCCTCAGTGAAGTTCTTCTATTGGGCTTTCTTCATTTCTTAACCAACTAAAGAAGCCTCCATTGCTGGCTTGTATTTTCCCTCCAAAATGAGCTTTTCAGAAATAACGACGAGAAGCTTAGATGGCATAATTATCTGTGAGTCTCCCCCCCCCCACACACACACCCAGTATCTGACTGGTCACCCACCATCGAGGGAGGGAGAGCAGCTGTCAGCCCAGCGTGGAGGGAGGGAGGAGGGCTGTGTGGCCATGTGGAGCCCCAACTCTGGGACAGCCACCAACAGCTCACAGACAGGACTTCCCAGACGCATCAGCGATGGGGCTTTGCCTGACAGTCGGGACCTGGGTGCCCAGATGCCACCTGGGGGCCACCGCAGACCCCCCCCCCCGGAGTGGGGGGGGAGGGAGGGGGGTCCAGGTCGTCACTGCTGCGGGGGGAGGGGGCTGCGCTGAGGGTCTAGAAGGGGTGTGGGGGGGACACCGAGCCCCCTTTCTGCTTGACCCAGACTCCAGCCCCGCTGCTGCTCCTCCAGTTCTGCTCCTCCAGTTCGGGGGGACACCCTGTGGGGCCCGCTGGGATGGGCTGGTGCCGGGACCCGGCCTGCGCGTGCGCTCACCTGGCTTGGCCCGGTGTCCGTGTCCCCCGAGGTCCCCGTGTCCGTGGGTCTGGGTGCACCGACCGGCTGCTGCCTTTTTTGGGTCCTGGGCTGGCGCGCGGTGTGTTCCGTCTGGCGGCACATCACTTCCCGTGGAGGAGAGGGGGCGGGGCGGGCCTCTCCCTCCCCCCCCCCCCCCCCCCCCGCCACCTCGGGGGTGCCTCCCCCCCTCTCCCCCACCTCCCACACACTGGGGAGGGGAGGGGACGGCCGCACCTGCTCCGGGTCCCCCCGCCCCACGGGAAGGGCGGGAGGAGGCGGGGTGACATCCACCAAGCGCCCCAGGACCGCGATCTCCCACACAAGCCCCCCCCCCCCCCCGCCCCACGCCGCCCCGGGGCCCGAAGGCCTGGCCTGGGGCCGGGGCGGTGGGGTGCGGCCGTGCGGGGTGTGCGCGCCCCGCGCAGGTGCGCCCGCTCACAGACGAGGTTTGAAACCCGCCCTGGGCAAGGGACGGCGCTGAGCTCGAGGGGAGAAGGAAACCACCCCGACCCTGGGAATAAAGGCGAACCGGGCGCAGCCCCACCGCGGGCTGGAGAGGACCGCGAGGACCTCGGCGCGCCGGGATCGCGCGGGGCTCGGGTCGCCCGCACCTGCGGGCCTCGGCCGCCCTCCAGCGGCCGCCTCCTCTCAGCGCCCACGCCGGCCGGGCGCGAGGCGGGGGGGCCCGGGGGCCTCGGGACCCGAGAGCAGCCGGGATCCCCCCCCCCCCCACTCCTGCTCCCCTCCCCAGCAGCAGCCTGGGTATCTGAACCGGGCTCCTATGATTCACTCATCTCCTGGGCATCCCTTCATTCAATGAGCCAGACAGGTTAGGTACAAGAGGATGCAATAATGAGCTAGATCTATTGCTCCTTGTTCTCCAGAAAGGCCGAAATGGGGGGCGGGGGGGGGGGGCGGGGGGGGGGAGGGCGGGTCCTAGGTGTGGCGGTGCATGCTTGTGATCCCAGCTATCTGGCAAGAAATCAGGAGTATCATGGGTTGAAGCTAATCGGAAGGAAAAAAAAAAAAAAGTTTATGAGATTTCACCTCAACAAACAAGCTAGACGTGCTGGCCCACATCTCTGATGCGATGTAGAAATCGTGGGTAAGATGATCACGGTCCAAGGTCAGCCCTGGCAAAAATACATTGTCTGAAAAGTAAATAAAAAGGGCCACAACGTGGCTCAAATTCAAATGGCCCTGAATTCAAATTCTAGTATTGAAAAAAATATATAAAAATTTAGTTCACACCTATAACTCTACTCAGGAGGCTGAGATCTGAGGATGGCAGTTCAAAGACAGCCCAAGGAGAAAAGTCTCCAATTAACCACTCAAAAACTGGAAGTGGCACTGTGGCTCAATTGGTAGAGCGCTAGCCTTGAACACAGAGGCTCAGAACCAGCACCCACACCCTGAGTTCAAGCCCCACAACCAACAACAACAACAAAAATTTTAATTAAAGAAAATTAAAGGCACTCACTCATTGATAGATATGCAAGTGACACATGCCTACAATATCAGCTACTCCAGGTGCAACATAGCAAGACCCTGTTGCCAAAAAGATAAGAGTGTAAAGTATCTTTGAAACACAGAAAAATGTCACCAAATTCAATTTGTGACTGTTTCTAAGAGCAAAAGAAAAACAGCATCAAAAGTTCACATTTAACAGGATACTAATTAAATCAACTCATATACGGACCTTGAAACATTCATTTTTCATCAAAACGCAAATCCCTACTGCTGCATGCCAGTGGCTCTCGTCTGTAATCCTACTCAGGAGGCTCGGATACGAGCACTGAGATTTGAAAGCAGCCCAGGCAGACAAATCTGACTCTGATCTCCAATTAAATGTCAAGTATCTGGAAATGGAAGTGACTAAAAGTGACAGAGCACCAGTCAGCCTTGAATGAAAATCTAAGGAAAAAAGGCCCCAAATTCAAGCCCTAAAACACATACACGCGTACACGTGTGCACACACACAGACAGACAGATATAACTACTTATCTATCTATTTTGGTAAAAATAAATAAATCCTAGTCCTCAGGAGGCTGAAGCAGGAAGATTTCATGGCGAAAGCCAGCCCAGGCTACTTTGCAAGACTCTGCCTCAAAAGAAAAAAATAAGTGCTAACTTAAAAAATGATCTAAGCTGGGCACCCGTGGCTCAAGCCTGTCATCCTAGCTGCACAGGAGGCTGAGATCTGAGGACCACGGTTCAAGCTAGCCTGGGCAGGAAAGTCCATGGAGACTCTTTATTTCCAATTAACCACCAGAAAACCAGAAGTGGCACTGTGGCACAAGTGGCAGAACACTAGCCTTGAGCTGAAGAGCTCAGGGACAGCGCCCAAGCCCAGAGTTCAAGTCCCATGACCGACAAAAAAAAAAAGACCTAAATTTATTAGGATTTATTTAAGCAACTATTACAGTTCATCTTCAAACAGCATTAACTCCTTTTCTCTTCTGATTCTTGTGCCAATTTCATCTTCTCTTTTAATTCCTCCTGATCTCTGGCGTACTGTTCAAATATCGGCTGGTAAATATATATTCCTCCAGCAATTCCAAGGATGGTAGCAAAAAGCATTTGTGGAAGAGTCAGCCTCCCAAACATGGTTGCAACACAGGCTAATAAATAGGTGTTGAAAAGTTGTATCTTACGTGCAGCCAATCTCTTCAGATCTGTGTACAAAGGAAATGGGAAGTAAGGCAATGACTCAATGTATGACTTAAGTATACATGCCTTTATAATACCAATGGAAGCAAGTCTTGAATGCCCTCCCGCACATTTTTCATGAATGTACTTTTCTTTTGCTGAACAACATAGCTTTCTGTACTGTCACCCAGGAAGGTAACTCATTTCTACATCTTATGCTCCCACAATTTATTTCACTGCTCCATCAATGATGAATACATGTCAAAGGATAGTTAATCTTTATTTTTACATAAACCAAATAATATCCTCTTATAACTACACATCACTGCTTTGCTCTGTCTTTAATAATATGTAAGCATCACTGATTAGTAAAAGGCATATAAATATATAGGAAATAGCCCATTGCTGGTGGCTCACACCTGTAAGCCTAGCTACTCAGGAAGGTAAGATCTGAGAAGTTTCAAGCCAGATGGGCAAGAAAGTCTGTGACTTTTATCTCCAATTAACCAGCAAAAAGCTGGAAGTAGAAGTGTAGCTCAAGTGACAGAGTGCCAACCTTAAGTGAAAAAGCTAAGGAATAGCACCCAGGCTCTGAGTTCAAGCCCTAGAATGAGCACGTAAGTAAATAAAAGATGGGAAACGAGGGTTAAGGGATGGAATGGACCAAAGCTAAATCCTCTTCTATAGCAGAATGTGCTCAGTGGTTTTAAACAGGTGAGGTATTAAATGGCAAAAGAAATGGAAAAGATCATAAACTTTTGACACCTCCAAAGTCATACCACAAAACTCAGTACTACAAGGGAACAGCTGGGAAAAAAAAAGTTGAATGCAATTGTGTCTAGAAATCTAATAAGGAAGTAAGAGAAAAGGCAGAAAATACTTTTCATTTATACTACTCGTGGTTTTCTTTTTAGCAACATCTACAGTAAAACAAACAAAAACACTTTTTAGGAGCTTTTTTTGGGGGGGGGGGGGGTCCAGTTGTGGGGCCTGAACTCTGGGCCTGGGCACTGTCCCTCAGCTCTTCAGCTCAAGGCTAGCGCTCTACCACTTGAGCCACAGCGCCACTTCCAGCTTTTTTCTTTTTGCTTATGTGGTGCTGAGGAATCGAACCTAGGGCCTCATGCATGCAAGGCAAGCACTCTACCACTGAGCCACCTTCCCAGCCCCCAAAAAACGGTTTTTAAAAGGCCGAAGGAGTGCCCACTTGCCAAATGTGAGTCCCTTAGTTCAAACCACAGTACTGTCAAATAATACAAAAATTTTTAAACCTACTGGAGCGGCGAGACAAGAGAATCACAGTTCAAGGGCAGCCCAGACAAAAGTATGAGATGCTATCTGAAAAACAAAATGACAACAAACAATTTTAAGGGGCTGGAGGCATGGCTCAGTTGGTGGAGAGCTAGGCAATGAGCAAAAGCATCAGGTACCGAGTCCTGATCTAGGACCAAAATTTGTTTTTAAAAATTTTATTGGAAAGATGCTGTACAGAGGGGTTCCAATTATATAAGGTAATGAGTACATTTCTTGTCGAACATTGTTACCTCCTCCTTTGTTTTTCTACTATCCCTTTCCTCTCCTACCTCCTCCCCTCCCATTTTTTTTTTTTAAACACTCAAAAGAAACAAAAAGGACTGGAGATATAGCACAAGCTAGATGGCCTGAGTTCAAGCCCAGTACTGAAAAAAAAAAATTGTTTTCAAGAATTTTCTTCTGATGCTATTTAGTGTCGGGACAAACAGACATCAATGTCACCCGTCCTTTCGTTGTTGTTGTTTGGGGGGAGGGGGGGATCATTCATTTTGTAAGGAGGTTTAACGAACTGACACTACTGGAAACCAACTGGAAAAGTCTGCAAATGGAATCTTCCAGGTGGTGGCATTCCCTGCCAGCGCCTTCGCATCTGGGTAAATTGTGGGTTTGCTTCCCAGGGGTGACCCGGCGCCCACCATCAGCCCAAGGTCGCAAAAAAAGAGAAAAAGGGGGGAAAAAACCAACCCACAAGTGGCGGAACTCGCGCTCTGAACCTGCACGACCTCAAATGTCCTTGCTAGGTAAAGTCAAGGAACCCGCGAAAGGCAAGCCTGTTTCTTCCCGGACTCCGCAGGTGGGCTTGGGAAAAGGCCCGGCTCACCCACCAAAGCGCACGCACGGACGCCCCCGCGCACGCGCAGCCCGGGGGACGCCCCCCGCGCACGCGCAGCGCCCGGGGGACGCCCCCCGCGCACGCGCAGCGCCCGGGGGACGCCCCCGCGCACGCGCAGCGCCCGGGGGACGCCCCCGCGCACGCGCAGCGCCCGGGGGACGCCCCCGCGCACGCGCAGCGCCCGGGGGACGCCCCCGCGCACGCGCAGCGCCCGGGGGACGCCCCCGCGCACGCGCAGCGCCCGGGGGACGCCCCCGCGCACGCGCAGCACGTAGGTCTCCGGTCTACGTCGGAACCGCACGCTAAGTTACCACCCAACAAGCCATCCCTGGGAAGTGCCCACACCGCGCGGCGTCGCGCCGCCCTCTCCGCTCACCGTGGCCGACGCGTCCCCTTCGGCGCGCTCGCGAGTGGTGCGGCGAGGCTCGAAGCCGCGGGCGCCGGGCCGCGAGGACTGCTTAGCGGGAGGCTGCCGGGCATCGCCTTCCCGCGCTCCCGCCGGCGCTCCTTCTGCGCCTGCGCGCGACGGCGGCTCACCGAGGCCAAACCTAGCGGGAGGAGGCGCCGCGCGCGCCGGCCGTTCCGCTTCCGGTCCGATGGTGGCGGCGGCGGCGGCGGCGGCGGTGGCGCGTCTTCAGCCTGCTCCCGAGCCGTTTCGGGGGTGGGGGCGATGGATCTCGAGGGCGGGGACGGCGGGATCGCTTTCCGTGGTCTGCCGAGCCGCTCCGGCCCGAAAACGAAGCTGCGGAAGAGAAAGTCTACCCTGTACGCCAGCGTCCCGGAGAAGGGCGCCCGACCCGCGGGGGGTGAGTGCGGGCGGGGAGGCGGGGCCGGGTCGGGAGGGCTCGCGCGGGGCTGGAGATGCCGGAGATGCCGGAGATGCAGATCTTGCCGTCTGATCCTCGGTGTCGGAACTAGATCCAGTGATGAGGCCACACGGTTCCCCGCGGTACAGGCCTTGCGGTCGATCTGTGATCGCGCTCAGACGAGTCACCACTTGGTGACTTTCGGACGGGGCGATTCACTTGTTCCACTTTACTTGCCCCGTAAATGAGCGCGCTGAGGGCTTGGGGGCGAGGCACACGGTGTTGGCCGTGGTGGGGGTCTGGGGAGAGGCTGATATTCCGGTTGCTGCAGTTTCACCTGCAGGAAGGAACCTCCGCTTCCGGTAAGTCAGGTCGCCCTGACCCGGGCCTGGCCCCAAACGTCAACCCTAACGACGAGGGAAATTCTTGCCCTCCCAACGCAGTTTTCCCACGTCCTCATTCTTCCAGGTCCAACTCTCTATAATAATTACCCACCCTGGCTTCACGGCCGCCGCTGTTCTCCGTCCCGATCCAAACATCCTGTCCGTCTGTCTGACATGGAAAAAAACCCTTCTCCTTTCGGACGTGTGTGGTGTGTTTTATCCGGTCGAGACATAACAACACACGGTACAGCACCAGTTTACCAAGCACCAGGCCCTTGAGTTCAAATCCCAGTTACCAGCTAAACTAAACAAGTGCTGGGGACCGGGCTCAGGTGACAGCACCTGCCTCACAAATGGGAACCCCAGAGCGCAAACCCTAGTACCGGTCCATCACCCCAGCCCCGAAAGATAGGACTTGAAGATTGAGAATTAACAGCGATTGACATATAGTAAGCATCAATAACCTATATTTTAATGTACATTTTATGTCGTTTGACATTTATACAAAGTTGTATTCTCAATGATTGATTTACGAGCCAGTTTGATTACACATGTAGCATAACTTGAGTAAGTGCTTAGTTAACTCAGTCCTTGTTTTCAATATGTATTTTAACCTTCTCTTTGTATATTCAGTTGCATGACAAGTTGGTTAAATAAAAGCCAGGGCCATCACCCAATGAGTGAGGCCATCACCGAAGACCTACTAAACCAGAGCTCTACCACTACGCTAAATCCCCAGGCTACCTGTCTCCCTAGTATGTTTAGCTCTAGGCAAATGGCAAGTGGTATGGAAGGACCAGAATTCACCAGAGTGCATTAGCCAGAGGCCAGCCAGAGAAGCATATTTTAAGTTCTGCAGGAGAAACTGCCTTTTATGCCACAATGACCTTCTTGGTTTTGTTTTCCAGATCTCCTTGGAGAAAACATTTATCTGTTCTTGTCTATCATTGCTTTAAGAATACTTAACTGCTTCTTAGTGCAGACGAGCTTTGTTCCAGACGAATACTGGCAGTCTCTTGAAGTTGCACATCACATGGTTTTTAAATATCCTTTTTCAAGTCTTTTTCAGACTATTAACTGAGGTTGCTTTCTAATTTCAAGAAGTTGTCTGCATTTTTTACAAATCATCTCATCAGAGCATATGTTAATGTATACTAATATTTCTCATATATCTTTCAATTTGCTAGAGTAGACATAGCCTTTAGTGTATCTTCCAACTGCTCAGTATTGAGAGTATTACAAACACATTCTTTCTCTGTACTTGGGATACTGAGGCAGGACAATTGCTAGTTCAAAGCTAGCCCTGGCTATACAAAGATTCCAGAGCTGGGTGCTGGTGACTCATGCCTGTAATCCTAGCTACGCAGGAGGCTAAGATCTGAGGATCATGGGTCAAAGTCAGTCCAGGCAGGAAAGTCTGAGACTCTTATCTCCAATAAGCCACTTGGAAAACCAGAAGTAGCGCTGTGGCTCAAGTAGTGCTAGCCTTGAGCTAGCCCAGAGTTCAAGCTCTGCAATCGACCAAAAAAAAAAAAAAATGACATTTTATATGTAGAAGTTAAATAGTGCTTCAACACTCTTTGAACTTAATCCTTAATATGACTAATTATGGTTATTTAACCTGGGAATGGACAGAAAGATTGAGGGGTTATACTTACCCCTTAATTTTTGCAAGCATATACAAGATTCTGCATCTATTGGGGAAAGATAGTGTGCAGTTACTGGTAAGTATAAATAAAGGTAACTAAAATACCTGTGAAAAATATATGAGTGTGAGATGGAATGTAGCTCAGTGTAAAGCCCTTATCTAGCATTCACAGGGCCCAGTTCAGTCCTCAGCCACACACACACACATACACACACATCTGCTGGATTAAATTTAAACCAATATTCCATCCTTCTTTTCAAAGTTAATTAGCACTAATATTATTACTATCAATTTTTTTTGTACTGGTGCTAGGGCTTGAATTCAGGACCTCCTGCTTTTGCTTGGCTTTTAAGCTTTAAGCTGGCATTCTGCCACTTGAGCCACAGATCTATATCTAGCTTTTCTGCTGATTGGAGATCTCTGCTTTGTCTGCCCAAGCTGGTTTCAAACCATGATCCTCAAATCTCAGCCTCCTCAGTATACAAATGTAAGCCACCAGCATCTGGCATAATCACAGAAACTTTTAAACTGTAACTAGTGAAATACACTGTTTTTTTTGTGTGTGTGTGTGTGTGGTGCTAGAGCTTGTCCCCAGGGTCTTACACATGCTTATCTGAGCCACAACCCTGGCCTGTTCATTTATTCTATAATGTACTCTTAAATTTACTATGTTATGTCATATAAAAACTATGATTGTAGATTTTAAAGTAGTTTTTGTATTAGTATCTATGTTGCAGGAATGAGGAAGCATTGTACCTTAATAACTGAGAGCATGGGCTTTGGTGTCAGGCAGACCAGGGTTTAAATCCTGGCTGCCATGTTTAAAAGCTCTGCAGCCTTAGAAAATTACTTACCTTTTGTGTTTTGTTTTCCTCATATACCAAACAGACTAAAACAATACTGAAAGCAACCATCCCAGACCACACAGACATACACTTACTTGAACCTTTTGGGGGTTGTCTTAATCATTTAAGTCAATTAAGAACAACAGGAAATATTAATATTTAAGGCAAAAGTATGTTTGGTAGACAAAACCTCTTTTTAACACCATGAGAATAGATCTTATGTATTAAATGAGATGATTTTTAACCTGTTTGTATACACTTGTGCACAAAAGTCTAAAGTATGCTTTGTTGGTGGTGGTGATGGTCATGGGGCTTGAACTCTGGGCCTGGGCACTGTCCCTGAGCTCTTCAGCTAAAGGCTAACATACTACCAACTTGAGCCACAGTGCCACTTCTGGTTTTCTGGTGGTTTACTGGAGATAAGCGTCTCACGGACTTTCCTGCTCAGGCTGGCTCTGAACCATGATCCTCATATCTCAGCCTCCTGAGTAGCTAGGATTACAGTTCTCAGCTTGTGCTTTGGTTTTAAAAGTGAAAGTCAGCCATAAATATTTTTGGAATTCCAGTGGCAAAAGGCATTTTTGAGGCTGGGAAGGTGGCTCTGGTAGAGTGCTTGCCTTGCATGCATGAGGCCTTGGGTTCGATTCCTCAGCACCACATTAGCAGAAAAAGCTGGAAGTGGTGCTGTGGGTCAAGTGGTAGAGTGTTAGCCTTGAGCTGAAGAACTGAGGGACAGTGCCCAGGCCCAGAGTTCAGGCTCTCCCCCCCAAAAAAAAATTTTTTTTGGGTAATTAGACATTTACATATAATCTTTGAGTACTTAAAGGAATGAAGGAGTAAACTTGGTGGAAGAAAGGCAGTTATAGAAAAACCTACCACATGGCCTTTGTCTTCTTTTACGTGTCAGTTTTAGGGCCTGTAGAAAGAATTGGGAAGGGAGGGGCTCAAACTAGAAAAATGGACAAGCACTGGGGCACAGTGCTGGGAGGGGAGGCACACAGGCCACCAAGGCCTTTCAGGGCTGGGAGTTATTTGTCCTGGGGGTAAGCCTGCCAGGTAGCTGTGACTGACTAATCTGATCAGTGCAGCTGAACTGAAAACTGAACTTGTGAAATTGAATCTAAGGGGCTGGGAAGGTAGCTCAGTGGTAGAGTGCTAGCCTTGAACAAAGCAGGGCTGTTAGCTTGTCTTGACTATATTTACAAGAAAGTTGCTCTACTTTAAAGGCTTGCGCCCCCCCCCCCCCCCCCCAGGCAGGCACGGGGCAGAGGTCAACAGAAGGAGTTTACTAGAGCAGAAGTGGGAAAGGCTTTAAAAAGGGGGAGAGTCTTAGCTAAGAGAATTTTAAGCAGGCTGGAAAGGTGGCTCAGTGGTAGAATGCTTGCCTCAAGCATGCATGAGGCCCTGGGTTCGATTCCTCAGCACCACATAAGCAAAAAAAAAAAGCCAGAAGTAGTGTTGTAGCTCAAGTGGTAGAGCACTTGCCTTGAGCTGAAGAGCTGAGGGACAGCGCCCAGGCCCAGAGTAAGAGAGAGAGGGAGAGAGAAAATTTTAAGCCAGGATGGCTAACCTTGAGAGGAAACCTAGAGAAGGGGGTCCAGGAACCCTGCCTGCTTCTCCAGGGACACAGGCAGGAGGGGGAGGGGAGGGAAGCACAGAAACTGTACATAAACAATTGTCTTTTATTTGGCCCAGCACTTGTAGAGATTATAGGTCCCATAAAATGTCTGGATCCAGTGTCCCATGAAGGGACCATGTGGACTCATTGTCCAGTGAATATTGGAGCCAAATTTGATTACATAAGCCTTTACGCTTATGAGGCTTAAGATTGGGTTCAAGCTTGAGTGGTTTTAGGTTGTGTCCTGAGGAATTTTAGATTATGCCCGCCCAAAATGAGCAACCAACAGAGTTGTCCCAAGAGATAGCAAGGGCGTCCCCAGAGACACTCTGGTCAACTAACATGGAAAGTCAGCAAGAAGAGTCGTTAGTACACAGTTGCTGGGTCCCTTGGTCTATCTGGCCCAGTGGCCTAGGCAGGAGGGGAAGGGCTTGGAACTTGGCATCAAGATTTTGCTCCCTGGAAAGCGGTACCAAAAAGGACTCAGAGCCCCTGGTGGCAGGAAATGGTCACTCACCCAGGAAGAAGGGCAGTTCAACTGCTGGTGGATGTAGAGAGAGCATTCTTCTGGGTGGGCCTGAGATGGGCACAAGGTCCCTGTGGCAGCTCAAACTCCCCAAAGGGGAAAAGCAAAACCACCAAGGGAGCCTTGAGCCAAGTCACACTACCAATGAAAGCGCAGAATACCAACAGCCCAGGGTATCACAGGGACACCAAAGTCACATACAGCAAAGTTTAATGTCAGCAAGCTTGACAGGCTGTCCCTGTTAGATATGGGTACCAGGCTGGGAAAATGGGTGATGGGTCATTTCTTCTAAAGCTGCTTCCTGCTGGGAGGGGCAAAGCAATTAATAGGGGTCCCTAAATTGTCATTCCAGCGGGTTCTGTCTGGGAGGCATTTGATTGACAGTTTGGTATTTACAAAACATTCTCACCAAGAGGGTGAGCAGCTTTAACAGTCAGGCTGTCAACCAGATGCTTCTTGGACTGAAGCAACATCAGCTCAGATTCAAGTCATGGTTCCAATGAAAGCATCCATCCCAGAAGACTACACGGACACAGTCACATACAGCAAAAGCTTATTGTCAGCAGGGGCTGACAAGGCCAGTTCTCAACAGAGAGGGAGAAAGGGCACCAGGCTTTGTTCAGGGGCACTTTTATAGTCAGGGCACTAAGGATGGGAGGAAGTAATCTGTATGCAGCTGAAAGATAGCACATAGCCAGGCAGGGTTTTCTGACTGCAACAGTTAAGACTTAGGCAGCATTTCGTTGATGCTAGAGACAGTAACAAGTACCTGCCTTAGACTGTTATGTCTCTGAGATATAACACACAGATACACTTAGTGGGATACCTGACACAAACTCTAAATGGTTTTTTAAAAATTCTTTTTGTTTGTTTTTTTGGGTCCGGTCATGGGGTCTGAACTGTGGGCCTGGGCGCTGTCCCTCAGCTCTTCAGCTCAAGGCTAGCGCTCTACCACTTGAGCCACAGCACCACTTCCAGCTTTTTTCTTTTTGCTTATGTGGTGCTGAGGAATCGAACCCAGGGCCTCATGCATGCAAGGCAAGCGCTCTACCACTGAGCCACCTTCCCAGCCCCTAAAAATTCTTATATACTAATTAAAATAAACTTTATTCTAAAATAGAATCACCACAATAAAGTAGTTTGATAGCGACTTAAAATTAGAAGTGTGTATGGGCTGCCTATGGGAGGCTGAAGCAGGAAAATCATGAGTTCAAGGCCAGGCTGGGCTTCCTTCCTTCCGGTGGCTCACCCCTGTAATCCTAACTACTCAAGAGACTGAGATGTGAGGATCACAGTTCAAAGCCAGCCCTGGCAGGAAAGTCCAAAAGACTTTTTATCTCCAATTAACCATCAGAAAACTGGAGTGGCACTGTGGCTCAAGTGGTAGAGCGCTCGCCCTGAGCTGAGGAGCCGAGGGACAGAGTCCAGGCCCAGACTTCAAGCTTACAACCAACAACAACAACAAAAAAAAACAGAAAGAAAATTAGTACTGTATTAGATAAATCAATATGAAAATGGAGAGAAAAAAGAGAATGATAAATATACCTTGGGAATGTCCACGCATTGCTCATGGACTTTGGTAGAAGTAGATGGATTTTTGTCTATTTTTATACTAGGAGTAGCTTTGGTTTATTTCCATTCTGTGTGAACCAGGGATGTATTTCAACTCTTCTTCTTTAACTATTGAAGATCTGGATTCCCAGACTCGCCCAAGCACTTCTGTCTGCTCTAGCAGACCTGAGGCTTTACTCATTAATGAGGCAACTGGACAGCCAGGAAGTGGCAAGATGGGTGGTAAGTCCTAATCACTTAACCTGTAAGCAGAAAGCGTATGAAAGAAAAGAGATCCCCACAACAATTGAACTTACAAGTTACTTCTGTCATTGACAGTAAAGTACCAGAGGCACATGCCATATGTTCCTTCCTGATTGAGCCTTAGATAGTGGAATGCAAACCCTGGGAGAAACTGAGCCAGAAGAGACAGCCTTTGAAGGCTGGTACTGTTTCAGAAGTGACCAAGTCCTTGCTTTTTTTTTTACCCAGAATTCAGGAGGAACAGCTGCATACCACTGCCTCTTGTTTGCTGTTCCTCAGAGAAACTCCTTGACATCCTGACCCCTGGCTTAAATGCTTGACATGGCTGGACTTGTACAAGTCCAGAGTGAGAATGGTGTAGAAGCAATCCTTTTCTTTGACTTATTTCAAGATGGAAGTATCAGTTCCTTGTATCCCACTCAAATCTGTGATGTGAATTCTGAAAATACAGTATAAATTCCAAGTAACCCACTTACTAGCATAGAATATGATTTCTTAGTAGGATACAATGTCTAGAATCCAATTTCTTAGTACATTTAGAAAAGGATATGTAACTGTCAGCAGTGTAGTCTTTAACATTCTGAAAAGGCAGGTTTGGCAATTAAGCCTTGCTCCTTGATGCAGATGTAAGGTCAGCCTCCATTTTGTGCCTACATGCATGTGCATGCATTGCTTATAGCTCAGCCTAAAGTGGTGAAACCCTACCTCCTATGTTCTAGTTTAGGAAAATCCTCTTAATTTCATTAAGCATTCTTTTAAGGTACATTAGAAGAGACAGGAAGCTAGTACACGTTAACAGCCTTACCCCCAACAAACAACTTAAACTCTACCATCAAAGTAGTCTTATCTTACATCTTTAATTTGTGAAAAGTAGAATTTAAATCAGATACAGTACTATAAAATACACGAGTATAATCTTCCCAAAAAGATCTGATGCTATCATAGTGCTGTGCTGGGTGTAAATTCTTAAAAACAATGTCTGAGCATGTCTACTGTTCATTTCCATGTTGCCATGGTTTTGGCAATACTAGACTCGCTTGCTAGTTCCCACACAAGATGATGCTAAGCTTCCCCACCTCTAAGTCAAATACTTCATACACTTTGCTCATCACTTTTCTTAGTTGTTTTGCCAGTTGTGTTCTTGGTTCACGTGGTATTGCTGTACCAGAACCCTCACCAACACCATGGAAGCTGTTCTCACTGTACTTGCTCTTTTCTACTATCCTCTGGAAGGTTCCAAGCCTGTGAACAGGTGAGATTTACTACTGTTAACAATTATGTACAAAACTCTAAGGCATACTTTGGAAAAAGCTTAAACTATCAGTGTGTTATAGTATCCAGTAGTTTCTCAAGTGTTTGTAAGTTATGAGAATCACAGCTATTAGTGGATAAATTATACTAAGAACAAGTATAATCCTCAAATTATTGAAAAGACACAGTGTAACAAAGGTACATATAAGTATACAATCATATAGCTATTTAAACCAAAAAGATGCTGTTGGGTTGTTTGTTTTTTTTTTTTTTTCTGCTTATGTGGTGCTGAGGAATCGAACCCAGGGCCTCATGAATGCAAGGCAAGCACTCTACCACTGAGCCACCTTCCCAGCCCTGTTGGGTTTCTTTTATGGGTTTTGTTTTGTTTTGCTTATTTTTGGTGCTAGTCCTGGGGCTTGAACTCAAGCCTGGTCATTCTCTATAAGCTTTTTTGCTCCAGCTTAGCGTGCTGCCATTTGAGCCACAGTTTCAATTCTGGTTTTTTTGGTGGTTAATTGGAGATAAGAGACTCATGGACTTTTCCTGCCTGGGCTGGCTTTGAACTGTAATCCTCAGATCTTAGCCCACTGAGTAGGTAGAATTATAGGCAGGGGCCACTAGTACCTGGCTGTTTTGTTTCTTTTTTTTTTTTTAATACTGTATCATAGTATAAATAGTAAGTTAGCTTCAAATCTAACTGCAGTTCTTTGTGGTCACGTTTCCTTGCTTACAGTGCTAAGTATGTGTCACTGGTGGCATTTGCCTTCATAATTCGTCCCACAGCCGTCATCCCATGGATACCTCTACTCTGCACACATTTCTGGCAAGCACGGAGAAAGCTCCCGCTTACTCTACATCATTTCTTACCTGTAGGGTAAGTATGGCTACAATTCACCTGTTAAGTTCACTAACCTGTAAATGAGAGACTGGGAATAAGGTTTTATATCCTTCAGTTCATTATATCTTCCAATGTCAGCCAAAACTTTTACCCATCCAAAAAAAATTCTAAGAAAAATGTTACAGGAAAATGAGCAAAATGAAGAGCAATTTCAAAATAGTATCTAAAGGGCATCTCTTTGGTCATGGTGGAAGTGAACATTTTAAAATGGCCGTAACACACATCTGCCCAATGGCAAAAAGCTCTATGGAACCCATAAATATTCCTGGAAGAATGTAAACTGACAAAACCTGTTTGGAAATTTTTTTTTTTTTTTTTTTTGTCAGTTGTGGGGCCTGAACTCTGGGCCTGGGTACTATCCCTCAGCTCTTCAGCTCAAGGCTAGCGCTCTACCACTTGAGCCACAGCACCAATTCCAGCTTTTTTTTCTTTTTGCTTATGTGGTGCTGGGGAATCGAACTCAGGGCCTCATGCATGCAAGGCAAGCGCTCTACCACTCAGCCACTTTCCCAGCCCTGGAAAATTCTTAAGTACTGAAGCTGACCTTTGTAGACTAGCAATCACAGCCCTATATACAAGTATAAGATGAACACAAAAGAATGTTCACAGCAGGGCTGGGAAGGTGGCTCAGTGGTAGAGCGCTTGCCTTGCATGCCTGAGGCCCTGGGTTCGATTCCTCAGCACCACATAAGCAAAAAGAAAAAGCCAGAAGTGGTGCTGTGGCTCAAGTGGTAGAGCACTAGCCTTGAGCTGAAGAGCTGAGGGACAGTCCCCAGGCCCAGAGTACAGGCACCATGACCGGACCGCAAAAAAAAAAAAAGAATGTTCACAGCAGATGAGAAAATGATATTGGGCTATGTGAACAATACATAATATATGCATATCTGAAATAACATCATGAAATGCCTCGATGTAATTAATACACTAAAAAAAAATGAGAAAGACAATGACAGAAAAAAAAAAACAGGCTTGCATCAGCAACGGGGGGTGGGGGGGGTTTGGAAGGGTTGCTAACAAAGATGATGAATAGGAATGTAGCCTGTGTAGTTTATGTGCATGTATGAAAATTAAACAATGAAAACTGCTGAAATTGGTGTTTGTTTTTTTTTTGGGGGGGGGGGGGGTCCGGTCGTGGGGTCTGAACTCTGGGCCTGGGCACTGTCCCTCAGCTCTTCAGCTCAAGGCTAGCGCTCTACCACTTGAGCCACAGCGCCACTTCCGGCTTTTTTCTTTTTTGCTTATGTGGTACTGAGGAATCGAACCCAGGGCCTCATGCATGCAAAGCAAGCGCCCTACCACTGAGCCACCTTCCCAGCCCTGAAATTGTTTTTAAGACAAGGGGAATGGAGGGTGGAGGAGAGTGAAGACAGGGAGGTAGATAGGGATACTCTACAAATGTGGAAATGTGACCACCCTCTACCTCCCATTCAACTAATGTATGGTAGTAAGAAAAGAAAAAGGAATGTTTGTGATTTGGGGGGAGGTATGGATCCAGCGGTAGAGTTCCAGCCTAGAAGTCGTGAGACTCTTAAGTTCAGGACTATCACAAAAAAATGAAAAATAAAAAAAACAGTGGAATCAAATCCTCCATCCCTACAACTAATGTATTCTACCAAAAAAAAAAAAGTATCAATACTTCTTAACGGCTGAAAATGGGCACATGGAATATAGTGTGTTAGTACAGTTACACAGATGCTATCATAAATGACTAAATTGCCTCATGCAGGAAAACAGTTCAGTCTCATACGCATGTTGAAGGAAGGACTGTGGGAACAAGAGTACATATGATTCCATTCTAAAATTCAAAGAAGGGAGAACTGTGCCACAACTTGAACATGGGCTTGATTTGTTGACTAAGTTCTACCTAGAAAATGGCAGGATTGGGCTGGGAAGGTGACTCAGTGGTAGAGCGCTTGCCTTGCATGCATGAGGCCCTGGGTTCGATTCCTCAGCACCACAAGCAAAAAGAAAAAAGTCGGAAGTGGCACTGTGGCTCAAGTGGTAGAGTGCTAGCCTTGAGCTGAAAAGCTGAGGGACAGCGCCCAGGCCCAGAGTTCAGGCCCCATGACTAGATCCAGAAAAAAAAAAGAAAATGGCAGGATTGGGGGACATCACTCCCTAGACTAGGTATTAGACTGTGGCTTCCACCATACTGCTAGTCTGCCTTTCGCTAGGCCAACTCACCCAGGGAAAAGCCAGGCAGCCATGAGGCAGTCTGAGGACTGAGTCCTGCCAACTGCAAGAGTGTTTGAAAACCAATCTCTTTCCTCTGTCCTCCATCAAGCCTAAAGCCAAGAGTTTGACTAAAAATCTTGAGCCAGAGGCACCTTGGGATTTTATAGGAACTATAAAATACTGTAATTTTAGGTTGGTAAGTTTTGGGAAAATTTAATAATAATGGATAATAATTGTTTTAAAGTTTGCTAAATTTATCTTCTCATCTGTGAAAGATATTTCAAAAAGTATAAATCCATATTCAGCTGTTGAAGTTGGAAAAGGTTTGGTTTTTATCAGTCATGAGGCTTGAACTCAGGGCCTGGGCACTGTTCCTGAGCTCTTTCATTCAAGGCTAGTACTTTACCACTTTGAGGTTCAGAATGTGAATCACATTTGCTTTTTTTTTCTTCTTTTTCAGATTTGTAGCTTTTAGTTCATCTCTGATCATTGATCGCATTTTTTTTGGCCAAGTAAGTAAAAATTATAAAGTATTTAATAGCTATCTTTATTTTAACCATTTTTTGCACTGAAACTTCAAGCTGGATGCTTAATCCATTTATATCTTAATCCATTAATATTTCAGAACAGAGGCAAATTTTCAAGAAATGCTGATACATTTTTTTTGTTTTAAAGATTTTCAAGCTATACCTGAGAGTTCAAACAGAATCCAGTATTTGGGAGGCTGAGGCAGGAGTACTTAGTTTGAGGCCAGTCTAGACTATAAAAATTAAACAATATAAATAACTTTTAGTGTATGCTCTTGGTTTTCTTTTTTGTGATTTCTAAGATGAATTCCTAGTTGATGTTCAGAAGAGTACTTAATGTTTCCGTTGAGAATAATAAAAGCTAAAATTGACTTTGGTTGACCCTTAGTCATCTATACATCAACCAAAATAAGTATTCTATTCCTTAATTATTTGGTTTTCAAAATAACTAGGTAAGCTGGGCACCAGTGGCTCACGCCTATAATCATAGCTACTCAAGAGGTTGAGATCTGAGGATCACCATTCAAAACCAGCTCAGGCAGGAAAAGTCCATGAGACTCTTATCTCCAATAAACCACCAGAAAACTGGAAACAGTGCTGTGGCTCAAGTGGTAGAGTGCTCACCTTGGGCTGAAGAGTTGAGGGACAGCACCCAGGCCCACAGTTCAAGCCCCATGACCAACAAAACAAAACAAAACACAGTTGGCTCATGCCTGAAATCCTATCTACTCAGGAGGCTGAGATCTGAGGACCGTGGTTTAAAGCCAGCCTGGGCAGGAAAGTCTATGAGACTCTTATCTCCAATAAACCACTAGAAAACCAAACTGACACTGTGGTTCAGACAGTAGAGCACTAGCCTTGAGCTGAAGAGCAGAGAGATAGTGCCCAAGCCCAGAGTTCAAGCACCACAACCCACAAAAACAAAACAAAAAAACCTAGGAAATGGCTTTTGGTTGTTTGTACGTCCTTGGCAGAAGTCACTTCTTTGTGTGTGCTTGTGTGCACGTCAGTACTGGAGCCTGAAGCCTGCACTCTTGCTTGGCTTTTTCACGCAAGGCTAATATTCTACCACGTGAGTCACACATCCACTTCCAGATTTTTGCTAATTGGAGATAAGTCTCTAGAATTTATCTGTCTGAGCTGGCTCTGAACCTTGGTTCTCAGATCTCAGCTTCTGAGTAGCTAGGATTAAAAGGCATGAGTCCCAGCTGCTTAGCTAGAAGTCATTCTTGAATGAATTAAGTCATCTGTCAATTTGAAACTTGGTGCTCTCATACCTAGCTGTGATCTTACACAAGTTTCAGATCTTTCTTTCCATGACTCTGTTTGTTTGGTTTTTTTGTTGGTCGTAGGGCTTGAACTCTGGGCCTGGGCGCTGTCCCTGCGCTCAAGATGAGCTCTCTACCTCCTGAGCCACAGCGCCACTTCCCATGACTTCTTATTCTGGAAGTAATTCTGGTTCTTGATGTTTGAAGGTTAAATGGGAAAAATCATGTAAAATGCTTTTATTACAGCAGTTCCTAGCATGAGTGAATACTTAATGTTACCGATTATTAATTTACTGTCATTGTCTGCTTTGTGCTATACATGTTTTTTGTTGTTTTTTGGTTTTTGTTGGTCCTGGGGCCTGAACTCTGAGCCTGGGCACTGTCCCTCAGCTCTTCAGCTCAAGGCTAACACTCCACCACTTGAGCCGCAGCACCACTTCCAACTTTTTCTGCTTATGTGGTGCTGAGGAATCGAACCCAGGGCCTCAGGCATGCAAGGCAAGCACTCTACCACTGAGCCATCTTCCCAGCTCTATATACAAGTTTTAATATTTACAGTTTTACCTAACCAAGTAATATTATGAAACACTGCACACTAAGAGTAAAATTATTAGTATAGATACCACACATATCCTCTACTAAGTTTTCACAGCTTATCTCTTACTGGATATAAAACTTTGCCAAAATATGTATAAACATTTAATCATGTTAGAGACTCCTTATAGATCTCAAACCCAGTGTTTTACAAATTAACAAAGAATGCATCAATATTAGGAAAGAAAATGTCATTAAGGATGATTGCAATTGAGTCCCCAGTACCATAAAAAATGATTTCATAGTTAATCAAAACTATTAATGTAATCTGTTTATCACATTTCCTCATACCAAAGATTAACACTTGACACTAACACATCTGTTTCTTTTCCCTTCAACTCTGCCAGTGGACTCTGGTGCAGTTTAATTTCTTGAAATTTAACGTGCTGCAGAATTTGGGAACATTTTATGGCTCTCATCCGTGGCACTGGTACTTCAGTCAAGGATTTCCAGCTGTCCTGGGTACGCACTTACCCTTCTTTATCCATGGCTGCTTTCTAGCCCCAAAGAGGTACCACATACTCATGGTGTCTGTGCTATGGACACTGTTAGTTTATAGGTAAGAGTCTATGTGTTCAAGTAGTTTTTCTACTAAGAAGTTAAATTAACAGAAGTATTGATTGTGAGGATTTGATTTAGTGGGGATTATTTTAGAAGACCAAAGAAGTAGTAACTGTGCACATGGTCAGGTAAAAGTAATTCACATACAGCACTTGCTTGACTAGGGCTATACTCCATTTCTTAAATTTTATTTACCTTAAGTAGACAAGAAACTACCAAAACTTTAAGCATTAGCTGGGCATCAATGGATCATGTCTGTAATCCTAGATCTGAGGATGTGGTTCAGTTAGTCTAGGCAGGATGGAGAGCACTAGCATTGAGCAAAAAAGCAGTTCAGGGACAGCATCCAGGCCCTTAGTTTGAGGCCCTATTCTGGCACCAAAAGGAAAAAAAGAGAAAAAAGCATCAAAGGAGCAATGATACAGTATTCTAATATGTATATTCCAAATTTGATTACTACTTGACTGGTTAATAAATATCTCTTTATGAATGAAATTTCCTAACAAAAATGACTGATGCTTAAAAATTCAGTGTCCAATACTTAAAAAAACAGATCATGTTGTACTTCATTTAAATTATCAGTCATGTGACATTTGAAACAATGTTTTCTTTTATCTTTTATTATAGCATGTTAGGTCACAAAGAATTCAGGTTCATCTACTCAGTTTTACCATTTTGTATGGTGTTCTGTGGTAAGTATCTTTTATTTAATATAAACAATCTATAGAAAGTTAAAACAGTACTTTTGAACTAATTTGTTTTCAGCCAAGCTGTGTGAAAATTGCTTTTTAATTAGTTATTAATTGTAGTACTTCTTTTTCATTTAATATATGAGTCTTTTAAGACTATTTTGGTTGAGAGGCCTCACAATCTTGAGTTTTAGTGTCCCATTCTAAAACCAAACTACCCTTTCCATCATGGAAACACTGAAAGTACACAGATAGTGGAAGATAGTAGAGAAGGTGGTAAGGTTTCCTTAGCATTGGTTTTTCTGGTTAGTTACCAGTCAGTAAATTTGATGTGATTAGCACGGGGAGGCTCACTTTCCCATCCTCCTCACTGTCTTGGTGAGGAGGAAATCATGAGTTGTTGCCATGTAGTCTCTGGACTTAATGTCCAAAGCTTAGAAAAATATGTCTATCAAGCATGCACAACATAGCAGAATCTAGCATCTCAATTACATTTTTGAAATACGCATTCAACACCACTCCCTTAGGCTTCTATTGTGAGTCTAGCAATATGATTTTCTTTCCAGCTCTCTTTTACTAGATAAAAATGATCACAATTAAAAGGACAGGTACAGGCCAAAGGAATTGACTGCTTGTTTCTTAATCATCAATGACAGTAGCACAGCTTATGCTGTTCCCTTACAAATATATTTAGAAATAAAAAATAAGACTGCCAGTGTTAACAGTTCTATGTGCCTGTCTCCACATAGGATACTCATTAGCCCACCTGAAATCATGGAAGAAAGCCGCCCTCAGTTTCCTGTTTTTATCAAATACGCTTCTTGCATTCTATACTGGTTTAGTTCATCAACGAGGCACCCTTGATGTCATGAGTCATATTCAAAAAGTCTGTCACAGCAGTCCCAATAAATCTTCGGCCTCAATACTTATACTGATGCCATGCCACTCTACTCCTTATTACAGGTAATAAAAGTTGTTTTACAGGCCCCTCATAGGTGGTGCTGCCATGTTGGAGGGCTGGGAATGTGGCTTAGTGGTAGAGTGCTTGCCTAGTATGCATGAAACCCTGGGTTCAATTCCTCAGCACCATATAAGCAGAAAAAAAAAGCCCGAAGTGGCGCTGTGGCTCAAGTGGTAGTGTGCTAGCCTGAGCTGAAGAGCTGAGGGACAGCCCAGGCCCAGAGTTCAGGCCCCACGACTGGACCACCACCCCCCCCCCCCCCCAAAAAAAAAAAAAAAAAAAAAAAGAAAACAAATTCAAACTTAGCTGAGGGATATAGTCCAGTGATAGAGGTCCAAGATTTAATTCCCAACACATACACACACTCCCTCTCTCTAAAAATCCCAGATCTTAATCAGTTGATCAATGGTAATTTAAAACTCATTATGGATCTGGTGCCATAGTCTAGCACTCAGGACCTTGAGGCAGGAGGATGATCTAGTCATTCAAGCTATGATGAATTCCTTTTTAGTGTAGGAAGGGAAAAGAACAAGAATCCTTTCCACTTGTAGTTTTTGTCTCTTGCCAAGTAACCCTTTAGAGAACTGCTCTAAAACAAGTTAACTTACCTGGTCTTATAGCACACTTAAGACTTCTGAAACAGTGCATTAATGTTAGATTATGTAGTCCTGAAGCTCTGGAAATAGCGCTCCATACTTTAGTTTGGGTGTGTAGATTTGTTGTTGCATGGGAGAACTGAAGTCTCCATCTCTGATAAGACACACTAAAGGCTTGCTGCCTCTTCCCCTTAACTGCAATGCAGTTTATGCATTCACATCTCCCATTTTTCTAAGTATGTATCTTAAAAACTAACATGAGAAATCCACTACTTTTTTACTTCTAACTATTACGGTAACTGATTCTTCTCCTAGCCATGTTCACTGTCCACTTCCAATGCGATTTCTCCAGTGTCCTCCAGACTTGAGTGGAAAAAGTCAGTATCTTGATGAAGCAGATGTGTTTTACCAAAACCCCTTGAAGTGGTTACATAAGGAATTTCCTGAGAATGCATCACTACCTACTCACTTGATCATCTTTAGTGCTTTGGAGGAGGTGAGTAATATGGAAGAAGAAAATTCACTTACTGTATTTCACTTTAGGATTAGCAAAGACTGAAGTCAATGAAAAATATAGCTTGTTTTGTGGCCCCTTTTAATGCCTGTAATCAATTAGTCTTTTCTCTACTAAAAATTAGCTCCAGTTTTGTACCTGTCAAGGTACACTGATTACCATCCAAAAGTTACTTGTTTTGCCAGTCCTAGAGCTTGAACTCGGGACCTAAGCCATGTCCCTGACCTTTTATGTTCAAGGCTAATGCCCTACCATTTGTGCCACAGCTTCACTTCTGGCTTTCTGGTGGTAGATAGTCTCATGGATTTTCCCTGCCCAGGCTGGCTTCCAACTACCATCTTCAGCTCTCAGCTTCCTGAACAGCTACAGCTAGAACTACAAGTGTGAGCCACTAGTGCAAGCCCAAAAGCTAATTTTTTATTAAGGAAATCCTGAATAGAGGGAAAAGTTTCAAAGTAGCACTCAAGAACTGGCTGGGGACTTTGGTGCTTTGCTTTTGATTGGTGGTACTGGGATTTTGTGATTGCTAGACAGATACTCCTAACCACTTGAGCCACATCCCCAGTCCTAGAATAGGCCATCCTAAAATTTTCTGAAACATTACTCAGCAAAATGTATCCTTCACTTACAGTAACATTTATTACTTCTAGGAAATAAGTGTTTTCCTAGCTGCAAGAAATTATGAGAGGACTGCTATTTTCTTCCACACTCACTTGCCAGAAGGTCGAACTGGAACTCACATATATGTCTATGAACAAAAGGCAAATGGGAAACTCAAAGAAAGATGAAACTTAACTGTTCAGAATTTCTAGAGACGGTATGGTGTCTGACATCACTGGATGGAGACATTCCGACAACACTTCAGTCAATGCCAAAGTTGGACTCATTCCTTGCAATAAACTATTATGAGCAGCGCAAATATCATTACTGAGGAATTGTATAAAATATCACAAAGTTAAAAAAAATACAATGCCAGAATTTAAATAAAGACCTTTAGTTTTCCTCATGGTGTAGGTTTTATTGTTTCTTCCACAATATTCAGATGTGCAAGAAATTTCACAAGAGAACAAACCAGCAAGCTCTTAAGAGGACAGCATACTCTTCACAAGTCAACGGGCTCTTGAACCCACAAAAAGACAAGAAATGTAAGAGTATAAAATGTTAGAGATGAAGTCCCAGCAAAACATACTTTTTTCAAGCTCTACTGCAAATCAAACATAGTGTTAATTACACGTCGTCATGTATGAATTGGACTTGTTAAGCTCAGAAGACTGAGAGGAAGTCTTACTTCATGCACAAAATCTGTTGCATGCCTGGCTTCCATAATAAAACTACTTTTTTTTTTCCAGTACCCTCCCCCCAAATTTCAACAAAGCTAAATTATAGGAAAATGCAGGTTAGTAAGCTTTTGACTGATGCTTCTGAGTAATAATATGAAGCCATCAAACTGATCTTTTGAAAATGGAAGGAGAAAACACGTTGATAATTTCATGTTAAGTTTCAACACCAAACAACTGTAGAAAGCATCCGTATGTCTCTTAAGTTTCCTAATGTAATATTAACCAGGGAATCAGTATTTAGGGTCAAAAGGTAAGTGCCCCAATTCTATTTCAAGGTTTGCCATGTGTCTTCCGTGAGTGCGCCCATACTTATGCCATTTACCTTCCCTTTTATAAGGCTGTGGCTGCAGGTGCTTCTGCTCCTGTTTTCGATGCCTGGAGTTTTCAATATTTACCATACGTTGCTTTTTATCAGGTCGACTGAAAGTAGTAAACACATTTTTCATCTATGTTAGAGTTCTATGTATTTAATTTAAAACAGTTTTCATGTTTTTCTCCACTAATCTACTCATCTGAGCACTCTGCAGAAAGATGTTAATACGATTTATAATTCTAACATAACCATACCAAAAATAGAAAAAAATAACTATTAGCAAGAAGGGGAAATACTGAACAAATGACAAAGGAACAGAAATGTGACAATAAAATAATGAGATGTTTCTATTATTCCTCCTTTCTATAAAAGCCAGTTCCTCCCCACATAGCTCACACCCCTCAGGGTGCATACAACTCTACACACCTCTTAAAGGCAAAGCAAAACTAAGTCTCTAGCTCTGCCTCCCACACAGCACAAGTTTCCTCACCCTCCAGGATCAGGTTTCCATCAGAAGTCACAGTCTACAAGCCATCCACGGCCACCCAATTCCCAAGCCAAGAAACATTTTACCAAAAAGGTCTTGTCCCGAAAACATGTGACCCACAACTTGAATGTTTTCCAGATGTCTTTCTGCTGTCTTGTCCATCTCAGCATCTTCTACAGTTCTAGCAGCCCTATTCCCCAGGGTTGGCAAATCTAACCTGGCAGGTCTAGCCATGTAAGTAAGTGCCAGTGAAGCCTCTCCAGATGAATGTCAGTGAGTACCTCCCAACAATTCGCATTTCTAGTTCCTTTGACCTTCAACTTCTAGTATTCTAGTCTGAATGATACCACTATCCAACACACATTCCGGAAATCTAGAAGACACTTCTAGAAACAAGTTTACCTAGTCTTTCTACTTCTGTTCAATGTTCATTAGCTCATGTCTATATTATAGTAACCATCAGATTCTAGTCTAACATCTTCCCAATCAATCCTCCAAACTGTTGCTAATAATCTGAAAGGCAACATAACTTCGCTTACTACAAAATTCTATTCATATCTGTCTTACAAAACAAACCTTTCAAATTAGAAATCAAATCAAATCAAATTAGATCCCTCATCATCTTTTCTTCCTTGAAGTTAGTTTTGTCTTCCTATCTCCAAATCTTTGCAGTTGACTTACTTGAGTGGAATGCCTCCTCCTTTTAAATCAAAAGTACTGAAAGACCAGTCCACTCACCAAACCTTTCAAGTATCTTCACATAGCCTAAGGCCACCACATACATGCCTCCATAGTTTCACTTATCATAGTTACATTTCCTCAAAGCAACCTCTCAACATTTGCTGATTATTGCACTAGACAACAGAAATCAGTCTCATTATTTTATAGACACATTACATTTATTCATAAAGGTTTAGTAATATAGGGCTCTTAAAGATAAAAAGTGAAATTAACATTTGAACATTAGGGGAGTTTCATGTTACAGAATAAAACGGACAATAGATAAAATGTTATGAATACACTGAATGTCTAGATTGCTGAGTTTGCTTCATCAAGCCACTACCCTTCCTTAGCAATAATAATAGTCCCATTGAAGTGTTAGGTATAATAAATTGGTACATGGAGTGGAAAAATGAAAATGGGTGGGCCATTAGAACTGTGAGCTCTTCTGACTTCAGAGTAAAATTTCTGTTGTTCACTTTCTAGCCTCTTAAACTAACCAAATAAAAGATTAAATATTAAGTAATTTTCCCTAAGGTAATGATAGTTTCATATAAAACTGAAACTGAAAAATCAAAACTGGCTAGATGAAGAATTATATAGCCTTATTTTTTAAATCATTTGCTCAAATCAAAGTGATGCTATATTAAACTTTCATCTGCAATAGCAGTGCTTTTCAAACTATACCCTTAAGACATTTCTCTTAGAAATAGTAACATTCCAAGACACTCCTCAAATGTTAAAAATGCTTTCTTGCTCTACAACTGTTAGAAACTATTATAATAACATGGGTTTATGTAAACCGACCTGGGTCCATGTGGAGGGGGTAAAGGGTGAGCAAAATATCTGTGTATGTGTTCATCCAACTTCTTAAACACGTCATCATTATCTACTTGATACTCCTTCATGTTGCTAAGATAATCTTTAACATCATTAACAAAGTCCAGGAAGAGCTTCTGATCATGTCGAAACAGACCATTGAGGAAAAACTTACTGATGAACTGATCAAGTTCTTTCCAGTGATGAAAAGCTCTCAGTTCTTTTAACAAGTACCTTTCCATTATTTGTCTAAATTCTTCTATCCTTACAGGATTCACTATATTAAAGGGACTTATCTTGGATTCCAGTCGAGCGCATTCAAATATATTAGAACACGTTTTTCTGAAAGAGGGACGCTTTTCCCTATAGTTGTGCTCAGAACTGTCCTTCGGTGGATCTGCATTTCTTCCGTATTCTTCAAAGTGTACTGGCTTCTCTTTCCTTCTGTCCTGTTGCACAGTGGGACCTCTGCAGTCCTGGTTTGGTCTAGGTGACCTAAATGGTGGGTACAAATAGTCACTAAAAATTGTTCTTGGTTTCTCAGCTGCTGTTTCCTTTGGCGTGCCGAATCTTTTATTGCCCTTTTCATCAAAGATATTCTTCGTAGTATCTTTAAAATGTCGGAAAGTGGATTTAACTGAATCTGAGAACTTTTTCAGATTTTCCTTTACAGCTTCCTTAGCCTGCTTAATTTTTTCTTTATGATGCCTTACAAACTCCTTGGTAGAATTTTTCATGGCATCAAATGTCTCCTTAACTGTTCCTAGGAGTGTTTCCTTTGATTTGCTCTTAGCCCTGTGGCTTCCTCTGCTCCCTTTCTTTTTAACATCTGTTTCTTCTTTCCCATTTTGATCTTTTGCCTCCACATACAGTCGTTCCCACAGATCAGAGCGTTGCTGCTCAAAGATTAACTTCTGTTCCATCTCAGTGAGCCTCTGCTGTAAAAGCACAATTTCCTTTTTTTCATCCAGTGCACTGGCAGATTCGGAGTTGTCCTGGGGCTGGGTGTTTAACTGCTGGAGTTCCAGCCTCAAAGCCAATGCTGCCAGCCGTTCTCTCTCCAGCTCGGTCCTTAGCATCCTTGCTTCTGCTGACAGAGTGTCCCTTTGACTAAGGAAGGTGTGTGTTTTCTGTTTTTCCTGTTCCAAATGCTGCTTAAGTTTCTGATTTTCTGAATGTAATTCAAGATTGGTCCCTTTATCTTCCAATATTCTTATCTGTTCCCTTAGTTTCCTTAACTCTTCCTGTAATAGAGATATGGCTTTTTCGTCCTTCTCCAGAGTTAATTTTAGATACTGATTTTCTGTAGCAAGGTTATTTTTCTGAGTTTCAAAGGAAATCTTTCCGGCTTCAGTAATGGTCCAACAACTGGCAAGATTTTCTTTCAATGACTAAATTATTTTTTTAAGGAGAAAACAAAAAAAATGTTAAAAAGCTCAATTTGAATCTTCAATACGTATCACCAATTAATATATTTCTCTGTTCCTATTTTTTGTGTGAATCCTGGGGCTTGAACTCAGGAACTATGTGCTGACCCTTAAGCTATTTTTTGTCAATCATTGGACTTGAACTCAGAGGCCTACGCACTGTACCTGAGCTTTTTTTTTTTTTTTTTTTGCCACCTTGAGCCACATGTCCACTTCTGATTTTCTGATGGATAACTGGAGATAAGAGTATCATAAACTTTCCTGCCCAGGCTGGCTTTGAACTGAGATCCTCAGAGCTCAGCATCCTGAGTAGCTAGGATTATAGGCCAGCACCCAGCTTTCCTGAGCATTTTTGCTCAAGCTAGAGCTCTATTACTTGAGCGACAGCTTCAATTGTGGCTATTTGGTAGTTAGTTGGAAGTAAGAGATTCATGGAAGCTGGGGCTGATGGCTCACACCTGTAATCCTAGCTACTCAGAAGGCTGAGATCTGAGGATCGCGGTTCAAAGCCACCCGGGCAGGAAAATCTGTGAAACTCTTATTTCCAATAAACCACTAGGAAACCAGAAGTGGCGCTGTAGCTCAAGTGGTAGGGCACTCGCCTTGAGCTGAAGAGCTGAGGGACGGCGCTCAGGCCCAGAGTTCAAGCCCCATGACTGACAAAAAAAAAAAAAAAGAGATTCATAGACTTTTCCTGCCAGGAATGGCTTTAAAACAAGATCCTCGTATCTCAACCTCCTGAGTAGTTAGGATTACAGTGTGCCATGGATGCTCAGCTCTATATTGTTATTATTATTACTACTACACTACTACTACTACTACTACTATGTCAGTTGTGGGGCTTGAACTCCTGGCCTGGGTACTGTCCCTAGCTCCTCAGCTCAAGGCGAATGCTCTACC